TGGTAATTCTATACGTAGTAATTCCACGCGTGGTAACTCTATACTTGGTAATTCTATACGTAGTAATTCTACGCGTGCGAATTCAACACGTGATAATTCTATACTTAGTAATTCCACGCGTGGTAACTTTATACCTGGTAATTCTATACGTAGCAATTCTACTCACAAAAACGCAACGCACGCAAATTCTATTCGTGTACTTCCACAAATAGTAATTCTACGAGTAAGAATGCAGCAGGTGTAAATTCTCTGCGTAGTAGGATAACGTACAGTGATGCAACATACAGTGCTTCTACGCGAGTAATACAACCCGTGATAATGAAACGCATAGTAATACAACTTGTGATAATTAAACGCGTGGTTATGTAACGCAGGGTAAATACAGCACATCGTAAGTGTAGTACAGTAATATAGCACCTAGTAAATCATCTCGCAGTAACAACGCCTAGCACATGGAAATGTAGAGGTAATGCAATGCGTGGTAATAAAGCACGTACCGTCATAACGATTATATTCACTTTAACGCTTGAAAATGAATTCCGCGACAATCAGATGTACAAACTCCTTTATTAAGTCAAGCAAGTCAACACTCTGAGCGCGATAATAACGAAGGGAGTTACCCTTATCAAAGTTGAACCGCGAACGGCTATACCAATTCTCGATGTAGAATGTCCTCGTTCCGCCTGTATTTTCGCCGGCAGTTTTCCGCTAGCTTTTCATCGTCTCGGCAGGAAGCTAAGTCTCGAGCGCGGTCGACGAGACGCGCAAGAGTTGTTTTACATTTTAAGTAGTGATATCGAGTTTGCATGCAAATGCATGATTATGCGAGGAAACCGAGGGTAAGGAAGGTTTTCTCGGGCGATGCCTGCGAAGGGTGGGGACAGGAGGCCGCGAGGAAAACGGACGAGGAGAGAAAAGGGGCGAGAACGAGGGGCAAAAAGGTGGAGTCGAAAAGCAAACGGGATAATGTATGCTACTGGGACACGCACCATCTTTTCTAACTATTCAAATCTTAACGCGAACCGGAGATTATGTTCGTCCAGCTGCTATATTTCAGCGGTAACTCCGTGTGCTTTCTATTCAATATAAAGATCCTTAATCTGGACGAAAATTCCTGCGATTCGCGTGATGAACAGTGCGACGGAAGTATATCGATTTGGGGAACGTTTGAATTGAAACTCTTACTCCGTCGATTGTAGTCTGATCGATGGTCGCGTCTCGGTGTTTTTAAGAGCAATTTCAGCCCTCTTTCGCCCTTTCCGAGGGAATTCGATCGCGACGGTATCGACAACGAAAGAAGAGGAGTCGGTAATAGTTCCAGGAGACAGGTTCTCGTGTCTGATATCGAGCTCCCTTAATGCGCGATCGTTCAAATTCCCCGCGAACTACTAAGAAATGATCAATACATATACATATATATGTGTATATACATATAACAGAGAACGTAACGGCGGCTATGTAGGAGTCTGGGCGAAGATAAAGAAACGCGAGCGAAGAAAGACGTTGGGAAGGAAGCCGAACGAACGAACTTTCATCCCCCTCGCGCCTTCGACAGAGATACTTGAGGCAAGTCCGCGAGCAAACTGCTTTTGATCATCGCTGCGACAACGCACTTTCCTCTTCCTTTCTCTCTCCCGGACCCTCCGCGAGTCATTCTTCTCCCTTCTCTTCTAGTTTCTTTGTAGCAGGACCCACTCCCCTAACTCTTTACTTCGCCGTTTCCCTGTCGCTTTGACGCAACGAGAAAGAGAGACGGAATTACAACGAACGCGCGACAAAGGGAGAGAGGCGAGAAGGAGAGGAGCGTACGCATCGTGGAAACGATCGAACGAGCCCGGACAATCTTAAAACGAAGCGTCGATCATGCCGCGGAAAGACGACGCTGCCAAAGAAGATATATCGCAAGATCGACCGGTGCAAGCGACCATGATAAAAAAAATGAAAACCAAAGAAACAAGGGAACCGAAGAGCCTCCCTTTGAAGCCAACGGGATTTGTCGTACAGAAAATTACGAAGGGCGACTGGCGAGATGTGGGGCGAAGGAAGAGTACTCTGCATGCCGACCAGACAATACGGTCTTTTGTACTTTGTAACGCGCTGCTAATTACTCTGCATCAGCCGCGGCCCTTAAGGTACACGCTGTCGATCCCTTTCATCGCGAGAAACCACCCAAAAACCAGATTAACCAACGCGACGGGAAAGAACCACAGATCGTATCACCCTTGGACTGCTGCCACCCCTTTCGCGTGCAAATACACCGCGATAATTGTTGCTACGCACTAAAACAAACTTTACGACACGATTATTTCCTGTTCTCCTACCTCTTCTGGGGTATATTACTACTTAATTATTTCACTCGTGTTCAAGTGCGATGGGGATCATTTTGTAGCAATAACCTTTAACAAAGTAGCGCTCAACTTTATATCTGTATCTTTAAATTTATATTTATCTTGATTGTTGCACTTTTACAACTTCGTAAATGAATGCAATCACTCTATGTACAGGAAAAATTATTCAGAATTATACTTCAGTTACGTCGAAGTCAAATGTGATTTCCATATTCTGTCAACCTACCCTATTTTATTATAGCTCCTCTGTTAAAGAGTTTGAATATCCCAGCCAAATCTGCATCAAATATGGTTTCGAATCTCCCAAAAAATAGTTGCCGAATTTCGCCAGCACCTCGCACAATCGTCCAAAGATAAATTTTTTGCCGAAATGTCTATTTTACCCCGAGGAAGAAGCGAATCCAGGAATTATCTCGTCGGCGCTTTTCTCCTTGCTCCCTTTGAAGTGCAAAAATCCCCGAAATTAAATCGATACCGTTCGCTCGGCCTCGATAGCTGGTCGTCATTTTTTTTTCGTGCATCGATCACATTTTTTTCTTTTCCGCGTTCCCGTTCTGTTACCCGTTTCGGTATTCCGTCGTTGACGTTGGATCTCGCGAAGTCGACGAGCGTTGAAACGCTCCGACAGAGACGACTTCGATTCGCGCTGCGTTCGAGTAATCGACGGGACCAGACGCGATTCTCTTTATCTCGGCCGGGGGGTGAGAACTTGAGGGGAATTCCAATCGGCGGGATGCATCGGCTTTAAAGCACTCGGTTACCCGGGAATGTTTCTCGCTTTCTTCCACCTATTGGTAAAAGTTCGCGCTGAAATTTTCCGCGTTTTTAGCCGCGTGAATCGACCGCGAGTTGTCTCGATACGCGTCTCATCTGCGGGGTGAATTTTAGAAACGTAAAGTTGAACATCCGATGCGAGGAGAAAAATGTTCGGAGTAATTTCGAAGGGAATTTTTGCGCAAAAATCTGGAGAGAGCGAGATTTTCGTCTGAAGAGATTTGCGCGCAACAAAAGTAATCGAGATTGGTTAATTCGCGCTGGCTGTCTGAATTCAACCGGAAAGTTGGTCTTGACGGAAAATGGCCGGAGAGAGCCGGCCTTTTTCCCGGTTTCTAATTAAATAACAACATAATTCACCGTCTTACGGTAAAACAATTAAATAACGCTTAAGATTCAGCGACGGCTGCCGCTGCTTTTCCATTATTTCGTCGTATAGCCGCCAGGCTTCGACCCTCCACCGAATTCTTACGCCTTTCGCTTTCAATTCTCATCCAACTCTCCCTTTCTACCCGTTCGTTTGTCACTTTCTCCCGCTCCATTCTTCTCGTCTCTTTTTTTCTTTCTTTGCCACGAATACTCCCAGCGCCGTATTGTTTTATGATTTTAATAAGACTCTTTCGTTTCCCTATCAATACTACCCTCTGGTCGCCAATCTTACCTTTTCTTTGTACCGGGTCCCAAAGTTTCACCCTTGCCACAAGGGGATGCTATTCTAGCGTCTGGAAAAGTGCAGTTCACGCTGTCTTGTTCCATTCAGCGTGCCCGAGCGTCAAGTATCCTCGTTATGCTCTTTGATTCATTACCCTATCAGCCATTCCCGAAACCAGATCTCAGATTTTGAAAAGCCTCGCGATTCATCTTCGCGACTTACAATTAACATACAATTAGATCATAACGATTCCAATTTGACTACAAAAAGAAGGCTGTAGAAAAGTACGGCGTTTGTGCAACAATTTATTTCGCAATTCTTCTGACAAACAGCGGTGGACGTTAAACCGCGGCGCCAGTTTCGATTACATTCGTTTCGACCGTCACCGGTCAAACCCGCGGACGTTGTAATGGTAACCGAATTAATCGGTTCCAATCTATCCGCCGTATAAATTAGATCCCCGTTGATGGGCTTCGTTACGCGTTCTAACTATGATCGAGCGTTTATCGCGGCTCGCGCTTTCCCATCGAACCATCGGCAAATAGTAAACAAATTAATTGGTCAAGCCGAACCGCAAATCAGGCGTCGCGATTGTTGCGCTCCACGACGATCGGCAGATTCGTCGTGTACACTTGCGGGCTGGGGATTTTCAAAGAGCACAAATCGACTCGTAATGGAGAAATCGATTATTCTGTTTATCGTGTGCGCGCTTCGAAAGAATGAAAGGGGCGGTCGTTTGCAAAAGCTGAAATATGCCTGCAAGTTTTCACACAAAACGCAATTGGCTGGCAAGTTAACGATTAGTCTGACTGATGTTTTCATTTTAATTAATGAGTTAAAATAAATCTATGCGTCACTGGGTACACAGAGAAGCTCTCACTCTGGCAGCAGAGTCAATGGATTCCATATACCTCGGGGCAAATTGAGTACATTGCAGAACCAGACTATTATTTTTCCTCAGAAAGTGTACTCACATATAGTTCGATCTTTGAAGCAAACCGATTGAGTCGCTTAACCCCTTGTCGTACTTCGACGAATCTCACTCGTGACGCACTCACAGCTCAAATATAATAAATCTTACTAAAATTTGTAATACTCTTCAACTTAAAATTTGGTCCAACTATAATTTGCATTATTAAAGATTGCTGAATATTCACAACATTTTAATGTTTATTGTTCGTTCAAACATTATACGTATGAATATTTAGTTTTGACTGACGCATCTGACAAATAAATTGTACGGCAAGCGGTTAAAGATACTCAGTTTATATTTTATTTGAATAAATGACCGTATGCTTGAAATCTGAAGGAACTTGGATCTGTTGATTGTTGCAGGCAAGTCGCACACGATGCTGGGTACACCGGAAGCGGGTCATACTCTGGGAGCAATACCATGCGCGATCGCCTGGTTGTTTCGTGGTATTTCGGAGCAACGACAGAGGACGGGTGCCAGATTCAGCGTCAGGGTTAGTTGCGTGGAATTAACCACCGGCCAACAGCAGCTCAGGGATCTTCTCGCGGCACACGCAAACGGTGAGTAAATAAGTGCGGTTCGCTATCTGCGAAATTGCTGCACAGGGAGTCTTGAAAAGGTGATGACGAGCAAACGTTGAGACAGGGGGTGCTTTGCTAGCATTCGCTGGCTGGCAATTAATCCTTGGATTCGAGGAACGTTTCTGGATTAACGCGTAACCGTTTGCGCAAGGGAAAAATCATGGACGGGGATAAAACAATTAACGTTAGTGTCAGAAATATATACGGGTTCCAGCTTGATATTCCGCGAATTGTTAAATTAATAAAAATAATTTAGTAGATCAGGGACGAAGTAATTTGGGTAAAGAGACAATTCTTATCTCCACAAACTGAACGGTTGATGAAGCAATTTCGAAGCCATCTCGCCAAACGAATAAAAGAGGAAGCAAAAAGGGGGACGGAGAAAGAAGTCATCTTACCCCTCAATTTTACGGACCACCGAGTGGACGAGTTGGTCCGTGAAGAGGAAACCGAATGGCGACCAAGAGCATGACGTTCGTTGCATATTATCCACGGAATCTTAAAGGATCGCGGCTCTCTCGAACGTACGCAAAAACGGAATGGAACGATTTCATTCTTCCAGGCTTTCGACCAATGCGTCCAACGGCATTATTACCGGCCATTCTTGCCGATCCGAAGACGCTGTTCCCAGTTTTTGTGAATGCGAATGTAGTTGAAGCAGGAATGGCACATGCGATTTCCGAATGTAATTTCCGTTGGACGACGATGACTTTTCCTTTTATTGCCGAGGCAGCGTTTGTTAAGATTGCATTGTCCGGTTTTTCCGTTTCGTGTATCGATGCAATTTTCTTGGCAGCCCCCCAGTTCAGTTTGCATACCGATATTGGAAATAGAACTACTTAAATGGAAAGTTACGAAAGTTATTCGTTCGAAATACTATCTGTCTTCGACATCGAGAGTAGTTTGAAATCGTGTTTTGTTTTTTGGTCGAATATTTTGTTAACAACGTTTATTTGCAACTTGAAGTGTTTCTAATCTTCAATTTGGACTCAAAAATTAACCTCTAACTCAAGTGGTAGAATCGAGGAAGTAACCGTTAAGGCGACCACAGTTACAACTCACGCTGACGTCGATTGCACCGAGGGTAACGCGCCGAGGGGGAAGAGAAACGAAGTTCGTGAAAATTAGATCGAGTTCTCGGCGGACCAGTGCAGGACACTGCGCAATTCCCTTCGCTGTGCCCTGCACTCGGCACTAATTAATCCAAAACGATTGTACCTGCCCGCATTGTTCCAGGCATCGAATTAATTGCGACAAACGTTCGCAACCCTATCGCGAAATGCTCGGCAAACTTTCAGCCCCTAACAATATATACATGTATATGTATACATAAAGTTTGCTATATATACATTATATATAAGAAGCTCCCGTTATGGAGGATAGACGATCCGGGGAGAGAAACGAGTGTTGGGAGAATAGAAACTCTTAAAACTGGGGGATGACGACCGAGACAAGTGTTTCTTACGACTCAAGTTTCTTCGACGCGCGGGAACACAATGCTATCGTAATCGAGCGTGTTCAAACGAGAAAAGTTGCCCGCCTAGATTACGGTACAAATGCTGCACGCGTTACATGTAACCGAACGTTCGAGCTTCGTCGAAACTTCGATACTTTCGGCTGACCGTCGAATCCGTGTATATCGTCCCAGTATAAAATTTCCAGATACAGAAATATCAACTTTTTCCAACCTCAATTTGCCTGGAGTACCCATTTTGTTTACGGAGCCGTAACTTCGACTTGCAGGATCATCCGCAACGTTTTACGCGTTTTTTAAAAAACGATCCGGAAGATAGGTTCATTTTGTGGATGTCAAAATTATGGCAGAGGGTGGAGCCCATCGTTAAACAGGGACTTTGAAATTAAAACGTTACGGTAGGGGGGTGCGTTGCGTTAAAAAGCGATTCGCGGCGCACAATGTAACCAAAGTTATCGCGATCGTGCCTCGGAAGAGGATAAATGCGAAAGGGTCATAATCTCAAAGGGTTTAGGATCGCAGTAAATTTTGCAGCTGACATTAACGCACGTGTCGCGTGCCACGTCGGAACGTGGCGTAATAAAACCCTCGAGCGTCGAACGTTCTTTCTTCTCGAACCGAGTCGCATTAACTCATAAACTGTTGCGAACTTCTTTTTTTCGCGTACCTTTGCGACGGTGTGACTTGATTTATGCCGCGCGCTCGAAACGTCAAAGTTGTCCAGGAGTCTCGAGACCGTTTCAACAACCCCTTCTCAGAAAGCTGAATTTCGAGGGACAGAGTTTCCTCTCGGCACGATCGAAAAACACACGCTTCTCTCGAACAAGCCTCCCCCGCTGATTTCGCTCGGAAACACGCGCGTGTGGCAGCGGCCTTAACGAGACTCTTTCCGCTTTCCTGGAACGCGCTAACTAATTAAGAAGCGGTGCAATTAATTTTCCAGCTTATTAAATAATTAACTCGTATCTCGAGGTCTGTCTCGCCCGTAGAAACCACCCCTTCTTGCTCTCGTTTCGACTTTCCGTGTCTCTCGTTTCGCGAGACGGGGGTTGCGAGCAAAAGCTCCTTCGACACACCCTTCGGATTCGGCTTTTCCAGGGAACTCGATAATCCGGGCCACGGTAATTATTTCAACTTTTCGACGGGTCAGATCCTGCTGGAAACACCGTCTTTGCGGCAATTTGCTTTTGTTTCTTACAACCCCTTCTGCGCCATTACGCAGTTACCTCCATTTCCCTTCTACTTCTCTTTACTTCAATGATTACCTTATATTTCTATACATCTCCAAATTTGCAAGGTTTTTCCAAATTTTTAAGTTAGGATTATTGAAAATCGACCTTCCAAATACAAGAAAGTATCACGAAAAATTGAGCAACACCGTTACTCCATATTTTCTCGCAGCACGTACCAGGAATGCGAGGAACGTTTCTCCGAGCAAAAGTAGGATCGTGGTAGTTTTTAAGCGGTCGCGTGCATTTCAATGGCACCAAGAAAAATATTTTCTGGAATATTTTTCCGGCTTCTCCGTCTGGCGACGAGGAGGCAAAGCACGCTCGCAATAATTCTCACGACTCGCGGTACGGTTATTGTTTTATGTTTCTCCGGTGGTTCGTACGTAAAGCGGATAAGAAGCGGGATAAAGACGAGCACAGAGAATAATGGAAGAAGCGTCGTAGCATCGCTGTATAGCAACCGTGGCTTTTAGCGGATGTATAAAACGTGCCGAACGGAAATGCACCGCTTTTCGTCCGTTTCTTTATTTTATTTCTTTTGGAGTCGATGGCAAATTGGGGAAAAGGGTGCACGATTTTTTTCCTTTCACTGGAGGTGTCCTTTTTCACTGTCACTAGAACTGTCCTTTGTTACAGTAATTTTGTACACTTTTATATTTATTTATGGACGTTAACAGATGTTGACTTATAATATACAGGGTGTCTCATAACCTAACGATTCGGTTGTCTAAATTTCTTGTTAAGAGGCAAAAGTAATTTCAACAATATACGCACAATTAGACCGCCAATGTTCGTACATTTATGATGTATTAGAGTCTGGAAGAGTAATATAGATCTAGGGTGTGCAATGGCTATGGTGTGCCTATAGGGTGTGCTCTGATATACAGGGTGTCTCACAACTCGTGTAGCTCCTGAAAAATGGTGGTAGAGGACGCGATTCTAAGCAAAATTTCCCTTTGCAAAAATTGGATTTGAAGCTTCGTTTTTGAGTTATTAAAGAAAAACACGGACCAATCAGAGCGCGAGGATTCGGCGCCAATCACGGCGCGCAGTCGCGAGAGCGACGCCTTCGAGCATCATGGCCGACTGGGCGTAGTCCTCGCGCTCTGATTGGCCCGTGTTTTTCTTTAATAACTCAAAAACGAAGCTTCAAATCCAATTTTTGCAAAGGGAAATTTTGCTTAGAATCGCGTCCTCTACCACCATTTTTCAGGAGCTACACGAGTTGTGAGACACCCTGTATATCAGAGCACACCCTATAGGCACACCATAGCCATTGCACACCCTAGATCTATATTACTCTTCCAGACTCTAATACATCATAAATGTACGAACATTGGCGGTCTAATTGTGCGTATATTGTTGAAATTACTTTTGCCTCTTAACAAGAAATTTAGACAACCGAATCGTTGATCTGAGACAATAACTTTTACGAGGGGATGCGGTAGGCAATTAAAGAAAACCGTCGTCTTACGTAGCGGCTGGCTTCCAAGCAAATGGTCCATGTTCGGTCCTGAAAAGGGGAAGAAGAGGAATTGGAGGTCATTCCGTTAACGACAGCTTTCCTCACTTCGTCACTTGAAAGTTTAATGGTCCGAGGCTTTGATACCTACCTTCCACCAAGTTAATTGTTAGTTTACGTCAGCAGTAATTTCCGTAAAAGTCGCATTGCTCTACTTTCCTAATGACCTACAATTATCGATGATATCCTCGTGAAATTCGTAATTTTTGCGCTTCCGGGCAATTGTCCGCAAGAATATTACTTTTTCAAGACCCTCCGGACGTAATTAAAAACCGCGAAATGAAGTCGGAAGTAGTTGAAGTCAGGTCGCAAAGAGAGAAACATAAAAATGTAGTCCCGAATGAAACTACCATAAAGAGAGCTTTGCCCTTATGAAAGAGTAACACCTACAATTAATTATAATAGTCGTTTCGCAAATTAGTAAAGTAAGTAAAATGTTGCTGAAGCTGTATCTCTCTATTATCGCTTCCTTTTTCGCGGCATTCGTAGCACTATTTGTGGATATGGTAGATTTCGAGGATAACGAACTGTGTTTCTACTCGAAATTTCTCGATAACAGGAGTGCTTGTTCCGACATTTCAATTATCCGAAACACAACGCTGGGAAAATTTTACGAACTTTTTTACTGCCTTGTACCATTGTCCATGATTCCCCGGACTATTTGCAGTAAAAAGACAGCTGAAGAATGTAAATGTACAGTTCTTTGTTTAAGAGAAAGAGTTCTTTGTTCCTAAAGAGATTAAACTGTGCTCCCCGAAAATTAATATAGAGACCGAGTATATAATTTATCTGCTCGTATAAACATTCTCGTGATTATTACGGCGAAGAATGATTCATGAACATTTGCGGACCCTTTGCAGTCTTGGCAACGGAAAAAATTACACGAAACGTGGCTCCCAACGGATCCTCGAGTTATAGCCAAGACGGAGACTTTCACGAAGGACGAATATTCACAGTCGCTTATTACGAGCTTTGCCCTAACTCTCTCCAGGGTCTTGACGACCTACCCTTGCACTCGCTACCTGGAGCATCCCTTCATCCTGCACACCTCTTTCCCTGGAGAGACTATCCAAGACCCGGTGGTCTTCGCAGTTCCTACTTATTTCGGCGAACGTACGACCGCGTAAAGCACGTCTGCCGCCACTCCCAACGCTGACTGTTTCTACTTTAGTACGAGCTATGGGCTGCCTTCGTTAACGCTCGTGCTTGCTTCACGGTTACTTCAACTTTACGTCCTCGACGTCGATTTTTCTGCGCGTTAAGGTGATTCTACAGAGATAAGTGGTGGCTGCGGTAAATTTGAAAAACGTGATAAAGAACTCGATACGTTTCTCGCATAACATACGAAGTACATAGACTTTGTCGGTCAGTAATATCTTAAACTTCGCATTCCAAAAGATTGAAGACGCAACTTCGTTAGAAGACAGCGTGAAAGGTCTAACGAACACGAAATAGTGGTACACCCACGATCGCGGGTGTATTAATGCGACACATAGGCGTGGCAATATCCATAAAGGGGACAGGGAAAGTAATATTGTCGGCATCTGTGCGGCTCGCGAGGAAGATTCTGGCGGAACATCGAGGAAATAAAAAGGCGATCTTCCGCGAGAAGGACTCGCCGGAATATAGAGGCATAATGGATGCGTCTTTTGCCAGATGCACGGGTCGGTGTATTCCTGGGTCGGTGCTATCTCGCGCAAGGGGTCGTGCAACCGGGTACGTCGGATAAATCGTTTTTCGACGCGTTTCGAATACCATCATCGAGCGACGCCCATGGACAATCTCGTCCCTCGAGAGGGTGAACCTGTCGGGGGGCAGTAAAAAAAATCTGTTTCCGCCTTTTCGAATGACCGGGGATACGCGCGTTACGAGACTGTTTTCCCAAATGCCTCGTAGACCATACGAAATGGTTACCATTTCGTAGTTCTAACGGAGAGACGGGTTTTCGAAGCTCTCGCGTCGGTGACGGACCATTTACGAGGGGTCTAAAAATATCTGAAACGCTCAGAAGAGGCACAAAAAAGGAACCGAAGCCTCAATCTTCCGCGTCATTATTTTTTCTCTCGAGAATAATCTTCGTTCGCGTTATCAGCCACGGATCTGGTACACCGGAAGCGGTAAAACTCGCTTCCGAGGGGATCGATAGCATCTCGTCGCGGCTCTAGCTCTAGAGTTTCCCTGTAATTTGCTCAGAGACGATCCGGCGGCCATTGGCATCTTCACCCGCTCACGACCTTTTACGTTAGGGTGCATCGTCTGCGAAATCCCATACTGCTGAAATTTTCAAATTTTAAATTCTTGTGCACGCTTTCCAACTAATTAATCGTACCCTTCAAATTAGATCTAAAAACAGCGACGAAAGCGATTTAGAAACGGCTGTCACAAATTGCGTTTTCACGAGGGACATTCAATTTATAGAAATCTTAAGCAGCGTTGCCCGGGACGTTATAAACTGTCGTAAAATGGAGGCAGACAAACGGGTGCTCCAACGCGTAACGAGAATAAAGTATCAACGATGTCCTCGGTTCTGTTCCTTTACGACGTCGGAAACGACACTACACGGGGCGAGTTCTCGAAGCAGTAAAACGTTAATTGGCAATTTACAAAGGGGATTATCTAAACGCTGTATCGCAGTTAACGATGAGAGTATCTTCTTCCGTCATCTGTACTTTTGTCAGAACTTTGCTTAATCAACGGATTCTGACGATTAGTTCTACAATGTTCGGTCCACTCTGATTGCCATTTGGTGCAGGTATATTTTTTATATTACCACAACTCGCAGCCGATATACACGTAATAACGATCGTTGTCTCCCGATGGCCCTTTCTCCTCCGTCGTTTCGCATCGAAAGCTCTTTCTAAGGCATAGCCAATATGTCACCGGTCAGGATGTACATAAAATACGTTGGTTTACGAGCCGATCAGATGGCGCGTGTATTATTGCCAACTGCTCGAACCTCCTAGTGCAGGCAATAAAATTTTCTTGCTGCGAAAGACGTTCGTTATTTTCTTCGGTTTTCTTAAATCTCACGATCCTAACAATCGCAGACATCGGATATCAAATTTATAAATTTTCCGAGTGATGCAAAATTACCTATTTCTGTATTGTTCAACAATCCCACCTCGAAAGACACTCCGAAAATCTCAACAATTACGAGAATAAAATAAAAACTTTCACTCGTTAATAATTTACAGAACAATTTTGAAAATGAAAACGGGAAATCGTGTAAAATTAAATATAAATCGTGGCTGTCCCATCGGCTTCGTCCGAGGATTAATTCTCTAATCTCGCCGTGGATTTTCAAATGGGGAAAATTTATGGTCGATTTATCATCTGGCAAGTTAAGATCCTTTGTCCGAAAGAAAAGGGAGCGTGATACATTGATATGGGTCCGAGGATCACACGGTAAAGTTTTCCTCGAGACGAAGCTTCCAACGGAATCAGTGTCGGCCGGAAAAAGTACAAGACGACTCGTATATCCACGAGACTAGACGAGGATGTAACACTGCTTTTACGCTGATCACTATTTACAGCTATGTTTCGCATTACGTTGATTATTCGCGCACCGTACGGTGACCATCGCGCTGTACGCGACGTCCGACGATACTTCGTGATAACGCGTCGTGATATCTTGGCGTGGCGTATCTTTTGACGTTTTATCGTCGTCGTAACTCAGCCGGAGAAGACATTCCGTGGATATTCCGAGACCAGGCGCGGCCGATTTACGGTCCTGACTACCGGCTACCTGCATCACCGTTTCTTTTCCTCGATATTATTTTTCCACGAAATAATAAAATCCAACGACCTGCTCGTACTTTGCTGATAATACGACACGTTTAGATAACTAACAAATGACACGAGCACGGTCGAGCAACAGAATCATGTAACTACGCTCCAAGCTTAAAGGAGACATTAACGGAAGCTTCCGCAGAGTTCAGATTTGTCTCCGTTGTATCTCATCGATTATGCGAGCCTCTAAGTACACGAAATTGATAGCCGTTTATCAAAAGAGCCAGACGCGTACACGTGGAGACGATAAATCGATCCACGTTAGCGTACACGTATGGCTTGCGGCAACCGTAACGGAGAACACGTGTAAGCTGGTTTGCGGTCGTTCTTTGTTCTTAGATTCCGAGCAGTCACCGGCCGTGTATTTGAGAGACGATCCGCTGTTCGGCAGCCTGCAACTGCAACAGCATAGCGAGCTCCGTGCACCGACTGCGGAACGTGCCGCTTTCTATTTGGATGCGGCAGTTGCTGGACGACAACGGGACGACGGCGACGCGCACATGCTCTACACCCTTCACGTCTACCAGTACAGCGTAGCCGGCAAAGGAGGCGGTGAGTTGCTCTCCTTTTCGACCGTATTTCTACTTCGTATCGCTTTACTCGTAAAGAACGTTTGTCATCGAGTTCTCTGGCTCGATTTTCAATAGTATCGTTCACCAAACAAATATTTTCGGATGTTAGCATGGAAATAAAGGCTATACTTTATTTCGGCAAAGCTAGCACGACTAATATAGAAGGAATATCAAACACGATCCTTGATTTTCTTAATTATCCAGTTGCCGGCGGCCGCAGCAGGCTCCACCTAATGGACCTGGGTAATTCGGACCGCGGCAAGTCTTCAGGAGGGATCCCCTTATCCGGCCTAGGCAATATCCTGCTGGCGATCTTCAACGGGCAAAAGCATCTGCCGTACAAGGAGCACAAGCTAACCCAATTACTGAAGGAGTGTCTCGGCTCGTTGACGTGTCACGCGGCGATGATCGCCCACGTGTCGCCCAACGCGCAGCACTACACGGAGACGTTCACCACCGTGCAACTGGCTTCCCGCATCCACCGAATGAGGCGGAGAAAGATCAAGTTCGTGGGAGGCGGGACACAGGGGACGGGCAGCGGCGGAAGTTCCGGGGAGGAAGCGGCGAGGCAGAACAGCGAGTGCGATCCGAGTTCGAGCGACCTGTCCGCGGATACGGTGATCTACGTTGGGCCCAGCACGGACGACGCGACGGACGGAGAGCATCCTCCGGTCTACATACCGAGCCTAAAC